CCGAGCCAATTGCTTGCTTATCTATGGCCTTCGGCCCACACCACCAATTTCTATGCCTGAGTTTTGGGCCAGAGAATTTGTGTATACCTGTAGTTCGGGGTCTGCTGGCATGCTTCTTGAGTGCCTCGTGGAGCGACTCTTGAAGCTTCTGGAGACATCTCGGGGGCCGTTTGGGGGCCTATTGGGGCTATTGTTGGGGCCCGTGGGGGCCTCTTGGGTGCCTGCTGGCGGCCCCGGGGGCCCATTGGCAGCGAAGGGCTCGAAGTGTCAGTTGGAGTTCCCGCTCTGCGAAGTTGTTCGAAATTATCCAGCGGACGGTCCAAAAACAACCCAGACGCCCCAAGATGGACCGCAATGGTCGCTCCACCACGCCCTATTTTAGATGGGTCCCAGATGCCCAAAAAGTGCCCCCAAAGCAGACCGCGTCCAAGTGTCTGTGTGCATTGGGCGCATACTGCTTACTACGAGTATGGCTCACCTCTCCACCAGGAGACATCGCGGCGGCCCCAACAGGTAAGCACAAACAGCAAGCACATCCCTGGCGCACGCACGAGTTTCAAGACACGTCACCCACGCCTCCATCCTGAAGACCCGAAGCGACTCCGCAAGGGGAACTACGAAGGCCGACTGTGTTTTTGTCCTGGCCTCTCAGCGGTCACGAACAACTCAGGGGTCGGCAGGACATGTCTTCGTGGAGCGTGTACAGGAGGAGGCCGTGAGCTTCTCGAAGATGTGACATATGGTTGATCCCTGAGAATCCCAGGAGCGCAGTTACAACCAACCCATGACTGTCCCTGAGAAGGCGTCCAGGGCGGACGGATTGTTGGTTCAGTGGTGAACTGTGTGTTGTCACTTCGAGCCCACACTCTGACCTAATCTTCAATGCCATCATGCGTGGTCCCAAAAGCCGCTCGACCAGCTGCACGAATACGCGAGGTGTGCTGCACAACATCTGATGGCGCGGTCCGTGTGATTGGCGTGAAGCCGTTCTCCACGAGACCAAATACTGACAGCTGCACGATTGGGCAGCACATCATCAAATAGCTTCTTGGCACTAACGTTCTCCTTGCCGAAGCGAATGCCGCAGCGCGGGAGGCCGACATCTCTAACTCTAGCGCGACCAACCCGCGGAAACGCAACGAAGGCTTTGTGCCAACATGAGGCGTTAACTTGCTGAGTCGGCCGGATTCGTGGGACCACCGCAACGCATAATATCAAGATCGGCCACGTATGCCACATGGCTCATCTGCAAAGTATGGCGCAATGGCTTCGGCAACGTGAGGCTGGTGCGGGTGATGGACACGCACGCCTTCTCATCAGCTCTGCAGTTTCTTGCCTTGGTTACCATGCATAGAGGCAAGGAGGTCTTTGCTTCTCGCTCCAGGCGGCTCTGACAGTATGACCTCCAACTGGCAAGCCTTAGTTATGGAGAACGGTTTGACACGTGCACAAAACTCCTGAATATGGCTCTGATCACATATAGCCAATGAGCTTACGCCGCGTGTGGGGCACGTGTAAACGTTGCCGCCGCGACCAGCCAAAATGACATGTTTGAAAGCTTCCAGGAACGAACGGTTCTTCTGAGCAATGACGACCCTGTATCCGTATCCATTTCGACTCCCGTTGGCACAACAGCAATCCGCCGACCGGAGGGGTCAAAAGGGGTCCCTGGGGCGGGTCCCAGGGGGGATTGCCACGATATGTTTTCCCCCCGCGCCCTGGCCCGCTCCAGACCCGGCCCCGGCCCTTGCTCCGGCCCCTGCTCCGGCCCCAACCGCGGACCCAGACACGGCCCAGTCCAGGGGGCCGCAACCTGGGTCCCGGCCCCGGCGCCCCGGCCATAGCCCCAGCCCCCGGCCCCCGGCCCCAGCCGTGGCCCCAGCCTCGGCCTCGGCCCCGGCCCCAGCCCTGGCCCAAGCCGCGGCCCCAGCCCAAGCCCCAACAGAGCCCAAGAGGCTCCCAAGAGAGCCCCAAGAAAGGCTCCAGAACTTCAGCGTCGTCGTCGTCGCCGGTGCCGCCGCTGCCGCCGCCGTCGTCGTCGCCGTCCCCCTTCAGGGTCGGCGGCACCGGCCGCTAGGCCTTCCCAATAACATGCATCGGCGTCACAGAACCCAGCTGCGTATGCAGACATCTGGTCTTCAGACACGCACGACACCAGAAACCTGCTCGAGTATTCTTCATGCGTTATTGTTGAGAGCGCCTCGGTTCTCACTCGTCGAACTGATTGCTGCAAATCGGTACGAGCCTGCCTGATGGCATCGCTTATCCGAGTGCCTGGTTTCCCTTGAAACAAATGCCTGCTCGCTAGTAAAATATCGGCTTGTGATTGCTTGATGATCAATCCACATCTGAGGTCTTCAAGTGCTGGAAAAACAGAACGGCCAGAAAGTGTCCACATGGAAATACAACGATTATTGATATTCTTTGTGGCTGCACTAGAATTGCGTGTAATGCTTCCACCATACAAACCGTGAAACTGACTGAGTGTGTGAGACGCCTCTGGAGAAACAGAAAGACCAATGGCAAGAACGGGGATCGACTGCAACTTGCTAACCTTGACAAATACGCTCCCATCACCATCAAAGAATCCGCTTCTCCAGTGAGAGTGGGCAACTCGGCCCCCGAGTCTAGATAGCATTGATATGTATCACTGTATAGGCGCGGCAAGTTAGACAACCCGATTTCGAGCATATACAAATGGAGCCCAGGTGTCTTGACCTTGAGCCAAAGCTTGAGCCAACATGGCTGCGGAGGGGCGCTCAAGAAGGCTCCATGAAAGCCTCGACAAGGCTCCGAGGCCGCAAGCTTCAGGTGCCGATTCGCATCAGCTACGTGCGCGACGCGGCTGCCAACGAGACGACACCGAGGTGCACTTGCAGGCGCGCTCTCTTGCGGAGGTCCACGACCCGCAACCGGCGGAGATACGTCGAACGGGCCTGAGACCTCCGACAACTCTAGATGATCGAGCCTCGAAGCTGGTTCAATCCTGTCGTCTTTCCTTTGATTTCGGTCTGCGGGACCCGTGTCGGACCGCTGGGCCATCAATAATGCAAATGATATGTTACAACATACTCTGTTGTTCTTCACCATACAAAGACGGGCGGAATCGAGGATTTGATTGGAGAGGGTACGCGAGAGGACACAAGACCCTCCCGAAGGCTACATTGCCATAGGAACGTAAAAGGCACGGGCCTCTAAAGACAGGACACAAGGATACCCTTGACTTGGCAAGCTCGACCTACTAAACCAAGGCCGACTGCACATCGCTGGATGCACGGAGCCCCCTCCCTCCGACGGGGGTTTCCTCCAGAGCCCTCCTCTGACAGCCTCGGGGTAGGAGAAACGGCCGCAAAAGGCCAGACATGCGGGATCACCTCCGACTCGAGATATTGTGTTGCATCCTCGGGGGACCACGTCTGTCTAGTCACGCCGCGATCCACGTCGAATCCGTGTCTAATCCGTGTCGCGCAAGTCGAATCCGTGTCAGATCCATGTCGACGCCGTGTCGAACCCGCGTCGAATCCACGTCGGGTGTGCGTCGAACCCGCGTCGGAGTACAAGAACAGACTGCCATTCACAACACAGGCAATGTCCCCCAGAGATGCAAAGTAAGAGATGCCGTCAATTCCGGGTTGGGATCGGTAATGCCTCGCCGACAGATCGGCGAGATAAGCTCAAGATTGCGACTCTGCGCTTTCCCGGGCCGGGTGTGGGCTACCGCCCCCCCTGCCGGAGCACTGGGCGAGGGGGGGGCGATGCCCCCCCCCCCGTGCCTCGCCTCCCATACCATCTGGTCGGCTCTTGCGAATCCACGCAAATCGACGCTAGTCGACGCTAAAAAATCGACGCTAACCGTAACCGACGCTCCATCGGCGCCTTTTTATCGACTCCCAGACGCTAATCGAGGCTAATCGACGCTAAAAAATGGAATGAAGAGGATATGCCAAGCTCCCACGAGTTGCTACCGCCCCCCCCCCCCCGGGAGCCCATCCCCCGCTGACGTTGCCCCCCAGGCAGAGCCCCTGGAAAGGCCTGCGGGGGAGAGCTGGGTAGGACGCCAGAGAGGGGGACCAGTGCCCGCCAGTCAGAAGGAACACGTGGAAGCATGAAGCAGGGAGGCGGATCGAACGCAGATTGGCTTCGGGTTCGCCAATGGATAGATAGCTCGCAAGCAACAGGAAGCCGCAACAACAAGGATTTTCACATATACATGTATATACAAACATACATACATACATACATACAGACAGACAGACAGACAGCCATACATACATACTCACTTACGTGCATACATACATACATCCACCCATCCACCTACATCCATCCATCCATCCATCCATCCATCCATCCATCCATACATACATACATACAGACATACATACATGTGTATATATACATACTTTGTATCGCAGGAAGGCGCTTGAAGTATATTGGGGCCCGTGAGTCCAGAAGTGACTACTTCCATCGAACAACGTGCAGAGGGGAGGACAGCGCGTCGGCTCGTGCAGCTGACTTCTCTGGCGCCTCCCGGCGCCCAGGTGTCGAGAACAGGCGCCCGGCGGTGAGGCAGCCGATTTCGTGTCCCCCCCTTCTTTTTGAGCAGGGACCGACCGCCCCGGCATTCCTATAGGCCTACCACGGCGTGCTCTTTAGAACCTGTTCGAAGCACAAACAGAGTGTTCTTAGAACATCTGGCCGATGCATTCGACGAAGGCGGTCTCTACCAGAACTGTTCGAAGAACTTGCCGCACAAACCACGAGAGGTCATTAGAACGATCGATTGGTGGTGCTATAGGCAAACCAGAAAGCCTCGCTTCTGCTCGACGAATACGGTCTCAACCAGAACTGTTCTAGGAACTTGCCGCGCAAACCGCGAGAGGTCCTTAGAACGATCGCCTGGTGGTCCTACAGGCAAACCAGACAGCCTCGCTGCTGCTCGACCCTCGCTGTGCCCCCCCCCCACCGCAGCCGCCCCCACGCGAGGGAGGCCCGGCGCGCACCTGCTTCGCGTAGTGGACCATCGCGCGCAGGTTGTGGTTCGTGACCCTGCTGCCCGTGTACACGGCGACTCGCCTCGGGTGCACCCCGTGGCGCTCCTCGCGAGAGACTCGGCGGCGAGCGAGAGGGGGGGAAAAGGAGAAGCAAAAGGCCATCGCAGAGGGCGCCAGGAACTCTCGGGAACCCTCACGCCTACTGAGAAGCGCTCCGTGTCTTTGGGGAAGGCTTGAACAAACCTCACAGAGACCTGGGGGACTTCTGGGCCTTCCGAGATGGCCTTCTCCACACATCCGTGCCCTCGCGGTCCGGACACCGAGGAGCGATACCCTTTTGAGCAGCAACGGTACGGGAGGGGGATGGGCGCACGACCCCTCATTGTCCATGGATCGCCGAGAGTGGGCCGATGGCCCGACCCGCCCAGGAACGTGTGGGCTCGCAACCGAACGCACATCGCCGAGCCATCGGCAGTGTGTCGCCGATTCTAGGCCTGTGCCTCCCGCCCTGAGGCTACGTTACCCCCCACAAGCGCTGCCCCTGAACCACGGATGGGCGACCCCTATACAGCCATCGTGACACCAAAGAGCACGCTGGCAACGCATGCGGGGGCTTCCCTGGCCACGGCTAGCCTTGGTCACGAAAAGGCCAGCGGACCTACATCTGAGGAACAGCCAGGAAAAACGGGCCCCCTCTTAGCGGCGCGCACAAGGAGGTAGGGGGAGGGGGGAAGGCTTCTTAGAAAGAGGCTGCTTCTTAGAAGGCGCCGGCCATACATCTATAGAGAAAGCCCGCGCCTTCTAAAAAGCCTTCCCCTCCCCTACCCTCCCCTCCCCCTACCTCCCTCTGCGCGTGGCCGACCCTGCCGAGCCCAACGTGGCCCTTCTGTCCGCATCTTGACCGTGATCGGACACGCCCCGCGCGTGGCATGTCCAAGCAAAAAGCCGCCCCGGAACTACCCGTGGGGCCGCGCCCGAGGGAGCCTGGGCCGCGGGCCCCGCGGATATGCGGCAAGGGGGGGCGCACCCAGGCATGCGATGCTCCGATGGTTTCCCTGCGCGCGATCCCCGGAGTCCCTACCCATCGGTCGGCGGAAGTAGGCAGAAGCATGGAGCAGAAGGCCTTGAGAGTGGATTGGGTTCCGTCCGCCCCCCCTGGGAGGACGGAAGAGGTGAAGCCACTCGACCGTTGAAGTAATTAGGAAGGCGCCTACAAAGTAGATTGGAATCTGGGGATCTTGAAGTACATACTTTCAACGACCGATGAGGAGACCCGTTCCCCAGGGCTGGTGTTTCGTCCCTGGTGTAGTTTTGTTGACGGTCCTGGGGGCCCCGCGAGGACCTGAGGAGGCCGAAGGCAGCCCAAACACCGGCCGTCGTGATCTCTTCTCCATGCGCTGCTGGAGGTCGGAAGGCCCCCCCTGGAGGGCAGAAGGAGGCCGAAGACGGCCAAGGACCTGCCGTCGTGCTCTTTCCTTTACAGCGTAGGTCTGAAAGCCTGGCCCCGCGGGAGCCCTGGGAGGCCGAAAGCAGGCAACTGTCCAGCGCCGCGATGCTCTCAATACCTAGCGAGCCCACAGAGGACGTGCGCGCCGAACCACGTACACGAATACGGCCCCCCAGTCCGCGAGACCAGCCTCGTGAAGCGAACGGTCGCGCAATGCATATCTGCGAGACCAGATGTGGACTCGTGTGCACGTCTGCGTCCTCCCCCCGCTCCCGAAGCACGTTGGCGGCCCGAGGTCCGGGCATGCCGCGTGCTCCCCGCCCCCACTCGTGTGCGCGCACGGCCTCCCTGCGCCCCTGAGGGTGCGTGGGAGGTCCGAGGTCTGGGCGCGCGCGCTGCCCGCCCGCGAGCTCCCAGAGCACCCGCTGCAGCAGGATGGGCTCCCCGCCGACGTCCACCGCGGCCGCCGGCGTCAGGCGCTCCGCGCGCCCCCCGCAGAGCAGGACGTCGGCGTCTGGCCAGGCGGCGGCGGCCGCCGCCAGCACCTTGCTGTTACGCAGAGAGCCCGTGCACAACGACCGTGCCTGGCCAGGGCATCCCCAGACGTGCGCGCGTCGCGGACCACTCCCGGCGAACAGCTTCTGGGCGAGATTGGGCGGGGCCTTCGACGGGCCCCTGACGTTCAGACAGATGCCCAGGATGGCACAACTTGCCCTAGGGAAGGGTCGGACTTCTAGGGGCCCCGAATTCAACAAAAAAACAATCCTCCTCCTCCTCCTCCTCCTCCTCCTCCTCCTCCTCCTCCTCCTCCTCCTCCTCCTCCTCCTCCTCCTCCCCCCACCGCCCGCCCCATGTCCCGAGCTCGTGGCAGGGTCATCAGCTCGTCGTTGTCGTTGTCGTCGTGGTCATCGTCGGGGTCGTCGTCGTCGTCCTTCTTGGTCGGCGGCAATGGCCGCAAGGTCTTCACAATCAAAAATCGGATATCTGAGTCCTGCCTGGGCCCTGGCACTGAGTATATGGTATGCGCCCTCCTGGCCGAAGCAAGGAGAATCCGTACACCATCCCAAGGCCCAAGATGCTCATGGCCTACCACGGTGGTGGTGGTGTACAGATGCCCTCTGCGTTACCTCCGCTTTGTGCGGCAGGTCGTACCAGTTGCCGCAGACAGCCACAACGCTCACCTCGCCCTCGCCGGCGCACTTCCACCTGCGGATGCCGCCCAGACAGGGCCAGAGGGGATGGGGGTCGGAGGATCTGAATGTATATTATGTTGCATCCTCGGGGGACATTGTCTGTCCCGTCGCGGCCCTATCCGCGTCAAATCCGTGTCGAATCCACGTCGGACTCGTCGGATCCCGTGTCAAATCCGCGTCGAGTCCGCGTCGAATTCACGCCAGATCCACGTCGCGCCCGCACCGAGCCCGCGTCGCGCACCAGACAAGACACCAATTTTGGGGACAGGCGAGGTCCCCCGAAGATGCAACGTAATGTATCGGCGATACATCGGGGACGTCGGGATCGTACTACATCGCCGAAGCACCCGCGACGCGGTGCGCTCTCCCGACCCGATGTGATGACTGGGGCCCCCGTTTGTGCACCCCGGAACGTCTGCGGGACCTCGGGCGCGATGCTCTCGAACCTGGAAGAAGACAAAACCACATACACATAACCTTTTGGCGCTCCGCGCGGATTTCTTGGATCCGCGCCCGGGCCACCCTCGCTGGCGGGCGGAGCGCGCCAGAGGCGGATCCAAGAAATCCGCGCGGAGCGCCAAGCGTTTATGTTCTCGGGGCCCACCAAGGGGGGGGGACCCTGGGTGTGTGTGTGTGTGTGTGTGTGTGTGTGTGTGTGTGTGTGTGAGTTCGATCCGCTGGTGCATCGAATTTCCGAAAAACGATGCCCCCCGCGGACCCCGATTGTCGACGCCTCTCGGGTTCCGGCGGCGGCCGGAGGACCTCGTTTTGCATAGTTTTTCTGCGGCTCGATACGCCAACGGACCGAACTCCCCCCCTCTGTTGATGGGCTTGTTTTCCACCACCATCAGCATAAGTTGGAGGGGGAGGGGGTCCTCCTCCTCCTCCCCTTCTTCTTCCTCCTCTTCATCCTCCACCTCCTCCCCCCTCCAACTTCTGGTGGTGGTGGTGGAAAACAGGCCCATCCCCTGTGGCCCCCCCCCCTTTGCGAGGTCCCGATGTTTGTGTGGTTGTTCCTTCTTCTGGAACCAGGGGTCTGCCGACCGGAGGAACGCCATGGCCGGAGGGCAGATAGAGCACACGCAGTCATATCATCGGGGGGGCGTCCGAGAGGGGGGGGGGCGTCCAGGGCATATGCAAGCCGGCCCCACGAGTGGGCCAGAGACGTGTGGAAACAAGAGGAAGAGGGTAGAAGTCAAAGAATCCCACCCCACAATAACCACCTCGACACGCGAAGTCGTTTAGTAAACGCGCCCAAAAAAGGAATCGAACAGGGTAGGCCTGTTTAGTAAACGCCGCGGGCAGTTTAGTAAACGCCAATTGTCTGGTCCGGGTGGCTTTTCCTCCCTTGAGAGGGGCCATGAGATGCGGGAAGACCCCATGGCTCCAGCCATGCTTTGCGCAAACCTGGCAAACATCTGCCGAAGTATAAGATCTCGGGAGCAAGCATCTGCAGAAGCATCAATTCTCGAGAATTTCTCGAACCTAGAAGAAGAACGCAACACACAAACATAAACTTTTGGCGCTCCGCGCGGATTTCTGGGATCGGCGCTGGACATCCCCCTCCCTGGCGCGCAGAGCACGCGAGGGGCGGCGCCGAAAGGCGCCGCCAGGGGGGCACGGCACCCCTGGTTCCTCGAAGGCGAGGCCCTTTCTGGTGCGCCCCATGTGGCATGAGGGAGGGGGTCCTGGTGGGAAGCGGGTCCAAGACCCTGGGGCGTTCTATTGAAACAGCTCTTCATCCGTCATATGTGATAACTGTCTCGGTTGCCCAGGGCCCCGGTCGGCGGTGGACAAACCTCCCTTTAGTAAACCTCCCTTTAGTGAAAAAGGCCTGGGACCGAACCCGACGGACCTGGACCCGAACAAATATCGGCCGTGACACCCTCTCGAAAAACCGAAAACAGCCAATTCACTAATCGACGTGTCAGGGTAGGAGGTCTATCCCGACCCGGGAACCACAACACAGTGGAAACACACCACGACAGATGTTTATCCTCCAAAGCCCATGCCCTGGTATCCAACGTAGACACGGCACAAAAAAATGCGAAATCACGCCCAACCCCCACGACCCCACCTTTCTGCGGCATCTCTCGAACCATATCGATCCGTCAGGATCCTCGGGCTCGACGCTGGATAACGCCGCCTGGTGCGAATACAATGCATCAATCGGATCTCGACGTCTTAAATGTGGCCTGTGGCAAAGCACGTCGCGATGACATCGGGGTCGGTTTCTGATACCGCGTGAATCCACCAACCGGGACGAGGAGGGGGGGATGGGGAGAGAGGGCACAGAGGAGGGAGAGGAGGAGGAAGAGGAGGAGGAGGAGGAGGAGGAGGAGGAGAGGGAGGAGGAGGAGGAGGAGGAGGAGGAGGAGGAGGAGGAGAGGAGGAGGAGGAGGAGGAGCAGGAGGAGGTGGAGGAGGAGAAGGAGGGAGGAGGAGCAGGAGGAGAGGGGGCGGAGGATGAGGAGAGGAGGAGGAGGAGGAGAGGAGGGAGGAGGAGGCGGAGGAGGAAGGAGGAGAGGAGGAGAGGAAGTAGGAGAGGGGAGGAGCAGGAGGTGGAGGAGGAGGAGGAGATGGGTGCGGAGGAGGAGGGAGGAGGAGGAGGAGGAGGAGGTGAGGAGGAGGAGGAGGAGGAGGAGGAGGAAGGGGGTGCGGAGGAGGAGGAGAAGGAGGAGGAGGAGGAGGAGCGATGGCGGCTTCCGGATCACTTGCACAACTTGTTCGTCCTTCGATGTCGGCCGACTTGAAGCCACCGCGGCGGCGTTCGGTCTCGAACGCCACCGCGCTCGGGTCGCCGCCGCGTGCAGAAGCGTCACGAGCCCGACACATCCGACGGCGTGAGTTGTCACTACTCTGTCAGGGGGGCGTAAAACCCAGGTACAGGGGACTCGGAAATCCCCGACGAGGTCGTCAAAAAAATGACGAGGCCGAGCCTGCATTTTGACGAGGCCTCCCGCTGCAGACATCCCACGAAACTCCCCTACTCGTCAAAATCCGAGTCGCAGTCGTCAAAAAACGATGGCGAACCCGAGTCCTGGCAAACCCGGGTCTTACGCTCCCCCGACTCTGACCTCTGGAGGTCTAGACCCTTTTTCGGAGCCGCTATCTCTCCTGAGTCGAAGCTTACATGCGCTGGGGGCCAACAAAAACTCGCGAGAAGCTAAACTGCAGGTGCCCCCGAAGGCCCCAACTTCGCAGACGCGTCTAGCTGCCACGACACGAACAGGCCTGGGCATGCGCGCGCGACACGTCGTCGACGCCAGCTCCGCTGGCAGAGGCGAGACCCTCGGGAGAGCTTGGGGCCCGGGGCCCTCGGGCCTCAACGCATTCCCCCGGGACGCCGAGCACGGCATCTCCGAGCTGACCCAGACCGGCCGAGCTGTCGACCAGCCGGCGCCCGTCTGGTTAGGTCGGGCATGTCCTCCTACAGGCGGGTTCTGGACGAAACAAAAATAGCCGAACACTACTCATTAAACAGAAAGATGATCGTCCCCAGGCTATGTTTGACCATTTTTGAATGTTCCTCCTGGTTAAACGGTATGCTGGGTGACCCAGAAGGTGGTCCAGCTGCAAGGGGGTGGTGCAATAGATTTGTGGCAATTGTGTTGCAAATGTACTTCGCCGGAGAATTGTATTGCTTTGTGAAGGCTTTGTGTTGCAACTAACGTACTGCACGCGAAAATCCAGGAATACATTTGCGCCCCGGAATGTATGGCACGCCCCCTTGTCGCTGGACCCCCTTTTGGGCCAACCTGACGTATGGCCGACTCCAAAAAACCCCCGACACAAACATGAAGACGACACGCGCCTGCACCTCCGACGGCCTCTCCCGCTGGCGGACCTGCCGCCGTTCGATACTTCCGCCGGCCTCCCGCCGAAGAAGGCGAGATACTGCCTCGAGGGCGAGGCCCTCTCGATGGTCGGGCGTTGGCAGAACTGAACTTAGAGGGACCTGGTTTAAGGATGTGTACTGGGGGACGCCCCCCCCCTGCGGCGTTCCACTGACCGGAACTGCCGTCACCCGAAAAAACACCAGCTACGGCAGGCCAGGTTTAGTGACTCTGGCCAATTTAAAGGCTCCGGGGCCCTACTACTAACCGGGTCCCCTTACCTGGGGTCCTTGCTATACCCGACAGTCTGGAGCGCCTCCGAGACTCAGACATGCGACGTCCTGATTTTTTCAGCACGGCAGCCCTGGAAGTCCAGGCCCTTTCCCCAGGACCGGCTTGTCACCCTGAGTCGTTTCTGGACGGTCCCGAGTCCCGGCGAGGGCCGCCCGAGGCCGACAACAGCTGAAAACTCCCCGTCCTGGTTTTGGTACGACGCGATCATGCCTGGGGAATGCTCTTCTGGCCTCCGGCATGAGTCCGTCGAGGGCCCCGAGCTCGTCGCTGCCCAGCGCCTCGTGGACCTGCGGCCCAGCGCCCCCAGAGGCGGTCATGCCGGCGCGCGGGTGCGGCGGGGCGCGCGGCCCGCAGCAGCAGGGCCACGCGTCAAAAAGTCGTGGCTCCCGCTTGAGGCAAGAAGAAGAAGGCATCGAAATGGGCAACCCTTTTGAGGACCTTGCCTCCGGAGGTTACACTTCTGAGACATCGGCTGGTGTCAGAAGTTGAAGGACATCCGCAGCCAGGTGGAAGCCCGGCAGGGTGTCCGATACGCCCCAGCTCCGTTTCGGACCCGCAGGGGTAGGGTTCGCGAGCGGTCGCAGACGAAAGGCCCTCCTCCGAAGTAGTCCTCCATCCTCGACCCCTCGCGCCGCGAAGGGGTCTCGACGGAGGAGGAGGAGGAGGAGGAGGAGGAGGAGGAGGAGGAGGAGGAGGAGGGGGAGGGGGAGGAGGACAAGCGAGGTGCGCTGGTGTCATATCTGACATCCTACCCTTCCCTCCCATCCCTTACCATGGCGTAGATCCCCTCTCTACTCGCACAGTCGGATGTCGAGCAGGGCAATGATCCCGAAAGGGTACGCGATGAATTGTAGAGCATGGCATGGCATGGCGTAGAATAGCACCACAAAGCGTAGTATGTCACAGCATGGCGTGGCGTGGCGTAGTGAAGAATTGCATCACAAAGCTTTGCAACGCAAAGCATGGCATCGCACAGCATGGCCCCGAAGATAACATTGCATCGCATGGCGTTGAAGATCAAAGCGTAGCATGGCATAGCACGACGTGGCACTTAGGCACTGCATATCACAGCTTCAGCTGAAGGCATGGCATCGCGCAGCGAAGCGCAACCTAGCATTGCATTGCATGCCGTGGCATGGCACGGGAAATGACGCCAGGGCTGCAGCGGGAGCACGATTCGGAACGAGCGGAAGCGCGGAAATGAGGCCAGCGCTACAGCGGGAGCACGATTCGGATCGAGCGGAAGCACGGAAATGAGGCCAGCGCTGCAGGGGGAGCACGATTCGGAACGAGCGGGGCCCGAAAATGAGGCCAGCGCTGCAGCGAGAGCAGCATTTTGAAAACAATGCAGACGAAAACCCAACTCCGGCGAATCCTGTGTGTAAAAAAAAAAATTCGTTGGGGGGGACGAACACTCCCAACCCGTCATCAGGGGAAGAAGGAGAGTAGTATTCATATTGAGCAAGTGTGGAGGAGCAGGAGGAGGAGGAAATGGAGGAGAACGAGGAGGAGGAGGAGGAGGAGGAGGGAAAGCCTTGGGCATGGTTTTGCCCACAGGAGCCGTCCGCCGCCCCCGTCAGCAACAGTGGTGCCGACGGTGGGCGTGTGCGTGGCCGCGGTGGCTCACAATAGAGACGATGCCAGCAATGCCAGGATGCCAGGAAACCAGGATGCCAGGGAGCTAGGGCCTCCTCCTCCTCCTCCTCCTCCTCCTCCTCCTCCTCCTCCTCGACCCAGCCTGAACGCGAACAAGGTTGTCCGCGCCACCTGCCACTTACGCCACCGCATGGCCACAGCCAGAGGCGGGTGGCGCCACCCGAACAGTGCCCAGAAAGGTAAGGCATGGCCAGCACACAGAAGGCTGGCAGATATGAAGGCCGTGCGGGGCATGGCGCAGCGCTGCTCTAGAGCGGTTGCACCACCCCCGCACGGATCAAGGAAGCAGTGCGCGGCGGATCCTCCAAATACCGCCACACACGATTGACCTGGAAGCGTGCGGGAGCACGCGTGAGGCCCGCGAGGACTCGAACACCCCACGTGCCTGATGCAGGGGGGCCTCGATAGCCCCGCGACAGGTTCGCAGAGATCTTGACCCCTCCCAGCCGCACACCACGCACACAATACACCACAGCCTCCGCCCCCCGTCCCCTATGACGGCAAAGGGGTGCATGACATGCGGCCTCTCATCCGCAAGCTGCACGCGCACAGACGCAAGGTCGGCTCTCGACAGGCTGCGCGGCGTGACTGGATGCGGGGGCTCCACCACTATGTTAGGCACAGGGCGGTCCACCGCGCCCAGGCCACGAGCCTTGCGCAACCGACGAGGGTCATGTTCGCAATCGACATCACACATACGAGGCCCGATGCGCGCAACCCAAGACGCCCATTGAGAGAGCACAAGGGCCTTGGCACTACGAACCTTGCGGAGCTCAGGATCAACACGGACTCTCGAGGTCATCCACTGAGCCCATTCATCGGCATGTTCATTGCCCACTTTTTCAAAACGCGTGGAAAGCCCAGGCTGGATGCGCGCCTCGGTGCAGTGACCTCTTACTTTGCGTAGGCCGATGCACTCAATGCCGCCCCAGTCATCAATGCGGCGCCAGACCTGTACCCATAACTCGAACCAGGCTGCACGCGCCGAGCAACAGTACGCCTTGCCACGCTGATACACCCCATCGTGGACAAAACCTGGGTCGGTGTAAAAAATACTGCCTGGTGCAAAGTGCTGCAAAGCACGGTTGAACGCTAACAGCTCAGCACAGTCAATAGCTTGACAAACGATCTGGAGGGTGCCGCACATCACCGAATTTACCTTAAAAGGATGTTGCGGCTGCACACTGACGATGGCCCAGCCCACAGCCTGGGACGCGGGCGGCTGGTGCTGGTCCATCCAGCTGGCGCCAAGAAAAACGTGCCCTGCCATCTCGGTAGGTCCTCCGCCGAACCACCGATCGGGGAGGGTGCTGGCAGGAGGAAGGGGAACCTCGGGGACGAGGAGCCTCTCGGCGAAGCGGAGAGGGAGGGGGTCGAAGCTGGCCCTGACAACTGACGCCAAGAAATCAGGCGGAACCTCCTGTGCCGCGATGTCATCGTGGCCCGCACAGCACGCGTGACGATGCAAGAGCGTGCCAGGGGCCTGCTGACACAAGCGGCAGAGGGGGTCAGCGGTATACTGCGAAAGCCACTGTCGATGCTGAGGCCACTGTCCCCCAGCGACAACGCTCCTCAGGTAGGCCTTCTCATCATGTCTGAGGCCTCTGGAAGCTAAGAGAGACTGCAGGGGCTGAAAATTGCACCCAAGAGAGAGCTCAGGAACACCTTCTCTTGAGGCCACTTTTTCCCAGAGCCACTGCTGCACTACATGATAGAGCCACTTGCGAACAATGCGAGGACCTGACTGCAAAACAGATACCTCACCGTGTCGAGGATGCGACCATACGAAACCTTGCATGCAAACACGAAGCCGCAAACCTGTAGCAGCACACGCAAGACAAGGGCCACGGATGCTGGCCCAAGGATTGCCGTGATCGGTGAACCTCTCAACGGCATCCCGCAATCCTTGCTCCAGCATCGCTCGTGGGTGCCAATGATCCCACACCGCGGTGGCATACTGCAACAGAGGGGCACACTGCAGTTCGTATGCAGGGTCAGTCTGCCGACGCTCGCTGAGCATGAGCAGCAGCGTCACACTCTTGCCGTCGAGACTGTTCGCCTGCACTCGAGCCTGCATCATGCGCGCCTGCCTAAGATCTGTGCCAGTGGTGCCTAGCACTTTGCACCCGTAGGTGTGCGACGGGAGGGCAGCGCTGCGGATCATTGTGCGTAGCTGCCGCTTGCGAACAAAAGGGGAAAGAGCCAGCAGCTTGCGTGCTCGAGCTACGGCAAGCTTTTTTCTGCTAGCACGGACAAACTGCTTGTGAACATTACCAGCGGCAAAGTCGATCCCAAGGTTCCTCTCAGTACGAACCCCTTTGAGCCTGACAGAGCGAAGTCGGGCCTCGAGGAGCCCGCGGAGGCTAGCACTGAATGCGACAACCCTACTCTTTTTCAGGGCGACGGGCAAGCTGACCTTTCTCAACTGCGAATGCAGCAGTCGAGTGGCACGGGCGAGCTCTGCTCCTCCTCCCCCTCCTCCTCCCAGGGTGCCAGGACACCAACAAACCATGGTGCCGGAGGCGCAGGGATGCCAGGGCGCCGGGATGCCAAGCCGGCCAGCGGCCAGGATGCAATGTGTGGCAACTAGGCAAGATCCTTACATGCCAGGGTTGCCAGGATGCCAGGCGGCCAGCATCGCAAGTTCCCAGGATACCTGTGCAAACTGTGCGGCCTGTAGGACCTATGGGACCTAGGGGATCATGTGGGACTTGTGCGACCTGTCGTAGTTGTGGGAACAGTATGACAGACGTCAGGGCGTATGGGACTTCTGAATGCTGTCGGAATTGTGCGACCTGTGCTACCTGTGGGACCTTGGAAACCTTTACGGCCTGTGGGACATGTGCGACCTGTGGGGCGCGTGCGACTTACACGGCCGATGGGACCTGTGAAACTGTCAGAAATGCGGGGCCTGTCCCTGAATACCATGGATGCCAGGGACGCCAGGGTGCCATGGGCACCAGGAATACCAAAGATGCTAGGATGCAAACGGAAACTCATTACTAGGAGATCTTCTGGGAACACGGATATCAAGAAAAGGAGTGCAGATGGTCCCGCGCATTCAAATCAGTCCCAATAATGGGATTCTTGGAGCACTAAGAGCCCGCAGTGGCCTAATGTTAGCTCCAGACACTCAAGCCCAATCCCAAGAATTCCCTTCTGCGAGTACGAAGGGCCCGAAATGTCTTACAGCTGGCTCCGCACACTCGAAATCAATCCAAATACTGCAAGTCTAGGACAACGAAAGGCCCCAAGTGGCCTAGAGTCGGCTCCGCACACTCGCAATCAGCCCCAGTAGTGGACCTTTGGGAACACGAAGAGCCCGAAGAGACCTTCAGCTGGCTCCGCACACTCGACATCAATCCTGGAAGCGGTGTTCTTCGAACGCGAAGAGCCCGAAATGGCCTTCAGCTGGCTGGCGCACTCGGAACCAGTCTTGGGGACGGAGCTCTGGCGATTCGACGATCTGCGGTCTATGTCGGGGCAGCGACGGCGGCAGCATGGCAGCAAGACCCACCGAGAGACCCAAGCACGGGCAGCGACGAGGCGGCGACGGGGCGGCGACGGCGGCAGCACAGCCGCCAGACCGACAGACAGGCCCAGTTGACGGGCGGCGACGAGGCGGCCACGGGGCGGCGACGGTGGCCACATAGCCGCCAGGCCGAAGGCACTGCCCAGACGACGGGCGGCGACGGGGCGGCCACATAGCCACAAGACCGAGAGCATGGCCCAATTCCGTAGAACAGAAGTAAGACCCTCGAAGTGCAAGCGCTGCTT